GTAGGTGGCTCCTGTCTTCCAGAGGAACAGTGCTCAGTTCTGCCCACTGTCCTTCCTGTGTCCCAAGCCTGATCCAGGGCCATGCCCATTCCAGCTGTAGATGGCTAGCCTGGCAGCAGCTGAGGACCAGGGGAGATCAACAAAGGCCACAGAGGCAGAGAACACCCATAGGGTGTGACTTTTCAGAGGAGAACTGCCAACAGGTGGCTGTGGAGTCACCGCTGTTCTGTGTGCCCATCGGGAGGGTCAGTGAGGGTAGGGATATTTCATTAGTGTCTGTCGTCGCGGGAAGAATGTTTGTGGTGACTGTTTGGAGAGGTGGGGTCACAGTGAGTATGAGCCATGGAGCTAGAGGGAGAAGTGATTCATGCATAAAAAGTTCTCAAACGACCAAAGCTGCTCGCTCTCTTGTCCGGTTTGTTCTGTGTAAACTGTCATTCTGTAACTGCCCATCAGTGTCTTCAGTGAGAAGCTAAAAAGTCTAAAAATGTTGCTCCCGGATACCCTCTTGTGTGCTAAAATAACTTAGGTGTTCATTTGTGTCCCGTTAATGGGCACAGAAAGAAGAATTAATTCTTTAAGTCCATGATTTGATTTCAGACCTCAGACCTCGAAATGGAATTTTAAAGCGATATTTCCTAGGCAGTGGCACTGCGATTGCTTATCTGCTCTTCACATCCTGAAGCCCATGGCCTTGACCGCTGTCCTCCTTGTCTTTGGCCGCATAAGTCTCCAGCCCGAGACAGGAAGGGAAGTGTGATCTCCAGTATCAGTGTCTCCGGTGGGTTTTCCACCCAGAGACTTCCCAGGCAGGGCACTTTGCCTCTTGACTGGGGTTCAGGTGTATTGGCTTCATGTAGCCCCTGGTGACCTGCGTTCGTCAGTCACGGGAGTCAGATTATTTTTATAATATTCCCTCATAGTACAGAGTGCCTTAGAATTTGACCTTTCTGGATTTGCTTATTTGATTAAAAGAGATGAGAAAAACTTCTTAAATGCGTTTCTGTAGCATCCTGGGACACAGACACGGCCACGTTCTAATTTTATTTCAGTTAGAAACATTTCTTCTCTCTGGATTTGCATTGGCTCTTTGCCAGCATGCCTTTGTCATGGCTGTGTACCTGCCCAGCAGAAAACTGTAGAGCCTGAGATGCAGTCAGTGAGGCAGCTCGGGTGTTGGTGTGAGTGTGTAAGCTATTCACTAAGAGGGGGCACTGGAGCTCACCATCATCGTGTGCATTCACAGAGGTCACCGTTCATACTGTGGGACTTGAGTTTGGGAAAGGTCACAGTGAGTGAGAAGCACGATGGAAAGACTGAATAAAGAGCACCACACACTCTGTTGGTCTCGTTCCTCTCACTTTTTATTCATGCAGTTGGGTTCTTGTCCTGGCTCCAAACCGGAAAGGCCCCAGACCAGGAGACCCCGAAGGCCACACTGAGACCCCAGTAGTGCATTGCAACACAACTGAGACCCCCATCTACATCCCATGACCAGGCACCAGCCAGCAGGTACCAAGTCTCCCTGTGGCTGCCTCCTCACTTAGGAACCATTCCCATTAACAGACTGAAGGTCGTAAGAATGTTCCAGACCTAGGGTGGGACACACACACACACCCAGAGTGACCTGAGGCCCCATTTCTGCCCTTTTCTATCTGTCATCAGGGCTGTGACCTGAGAAAGGTCGTGGTGTTGGGAGCTATGTGCTGTTCTCATGTGGTGTTCTCCTACTGAGACCTGGGAGGTTCTCAGTGTCGGGGTCCTGGAAAGTAGCCAGTGGAGATTGAGATCACAATGTTCTTGGATGAGGCTCTTGGCTAAAGCCAGGCATCTGCCCAAAGTTAGGACTGTTCTTGGAGAAAAGGCTGGGAAGCAGCATACGCCCCTTGTAAATGTTCCTGACTCAAAGCCCCAGCCATTGCTCACCCTGTGGTGCCTCTGGGGAATGATGTGAGCATCTGGAAGTCTCCATCACTAGCCATGCTGGCCGTTGTGAGCCTTTTGCAGCAGACCCAGCTGCGTGGCCACAGTGGCACCTGAAAAGTACCCATGTCCCAGAAGTGACTACAGTGTGAAGGGAACAGAGTTCAAAATGACCACAATTGTTTTCTTTAGTGTGTATTCACTGTCCAAATAATGGGTTTAATTATGACATCCTCACGCATGTATTATATTTGTGACCCTCACCTTCACCCACTCTTCCTCCTGCTGGTCGCCTTCCTCTTCCCTAATACTCTCCACCATGAACTGTTTCGAGTATGAAAAGATAGTTGCTTTACTTGCAGAGATCACTCTAGTTTATGGTATTAGAGGCTGTTAGTTATTATGGGGCGCTGTGTTATTCATTAAGCGGCACTGTTTACCAAGAGAAAAGCCGCAAGGCACAACAAAACCCACTCTAAGAGTTTATTAGGAGAAGGAACAGAGGGGAGTGCTTAGGTCTATGGAAATGGTCCTGCAAGGAGAGAGGGGGAGGGGTCTACGACCCGCTTTTTATGGCTTCCCCCGCACATGCGCATAGATTACATGATCACTCTGCAAATTACGTGACCACGCAGTGCAAGGATTACACAGGATGTAAGACCCCTGGATGACTAAGCATCTGGCCAGCGCATGCTTGGCCATGGGGAATGGCTAGTAATTCCAACAGAGGCAATTAGCATTTTATGCGTTTTGTTTCTTTTTCTGCTTGCTTGCATGTGTGTTGTGAATAGCCACCATCTTCTCACTGGCATTCCTTCAGGAAGGGTTTGGATATTGAGAGCTCACCACTGGATAAAGGTCTGAAGCATTCGAGACTTGGGAAGGCTGGTTTGCCTGAGGTGACTGAAGAGGCTGAAGGTGGATATGTACCGGAGTGTGATTTAGTTTTGAAGGATGGAGAATGTCAGTGTGTGGCTGCCAGGATGAAAGCATAGCAGAGTTATGCCTGCCTATGCTGGGCCATGCAGACATAGCCACACCTCCCATGACAGGGAACATGTAGCCTCAGAGAGAGTGATGCCCTGCTCCTGGTCAAGCAACTAGCAGTAGCACCAGGATCAGGGCCAGTTCTGACCCCAAAGTCTGAGTCTTGGAAGACAAAATGTCTCCACTAGGCCATGCTTCAGCCTCCCCTCCCAGGCAGGCCCTTCCCCCATGGCCCATAAAGAGAAATCCAGATCCAGCCCTACCAGACAGCTGCTAATAGCCATGTATCTGGGACCCTCTCAGGCCTGCTTGTTAGAATTCCTAGCCACTGCCCCAGCTACATGAGTGCACATGCGCTGTCCAGTAGCCAGGCAAGATGCTTAGTCATCCGAGGGCCTTATGTCCTATGCCTCGAAGCATGCACTGCACATAGTGTGGTCACATAATCTATGTGCATGTGTGTGTGGGTCCTATAAAAGCAGATTCCTCCAATTTCCCCTCCTTTCTTCCTGCACAGTCATTCCGTAGGCCTATGCACACCCCTTCTGTTCCCTTAATAAACTCTTATAGTGGTTTTTGTTGTAACTTGTGGCTTTTCTCAAACGGTAAACAGCACCGCTTAATGAATAACATTGTGCTACTTAATAAAGAACACTGCTCACATGCAACATTGTCATGCTCATCATGTGGGCCACAGCTCATCATGCAAAGGCTTGGTAACCCCATCACTACACAAAATGGGTTAACATTTAGAAAAGTGGCATCCATAGGCCATGTCTGTCCTTACACCCTTAACTAAGCCAGAGGCTGAAGCAGGAGGATCATTTGAGCTCATGAACTCTAGACCAGCCTAGGTAGTAAGACCTGTCTCAAAAGGGGAGTGTGGAGGCAGGAGGTGTAACTGAGTTGGTAGTATGTTTTCCTAGCAAGCCTGAAACCACAGGCATGCTGGCACTCAGGAGATGGAGGCAGAAGAATCAAAGTCATTCTCAGCTACATAGCAAGTTCAAGACCAGCCTGGGATGCACGAGACCCTATCAATCAAACAAACAAAAACAGTGACAAAAAAAAAACAAAAAAACAAAGTACCATCATGCCTAAGCAGTTGACCACAGACCAGAGTCTCACTGTGTGCCCAGCATACCCTCTTGACCCAGGACCCAGGGGTTGGGCAGAGCCCTGGCTGTAGGCTGTTGTCTCTGTGAAGGAAGAAAGCCTCTGCCCTTTCTGCAGGCACAGAGTGTGACATTCACATGGCCATGCCCTGCCCTGCCTGGATGAATGAGCCTCTGTATTGCCTGGGGTGTGGGAGGAAAAATAAGGGCACACCCACAGCTGGCTGGCCTGCTCCTGGCAGCTCCAGCTGTGACCTTCACCTTGACTGAGGCATGGCAACTTTACCCAGCTGTCCGTTTGCTGTGCCCATCTGAATCCAGGTGGAGCACGTGGCCAGCAGCCAGGGAATGTACAGCCAGGGCAAAGAAAGTGAACAGCACCCCTGAACCTCCACGTGGGAAAGGCTCCCACTCTGGCCCCAGCCCCGCAGGCCAGATGCTGTCCCTTGCCTAGCGAGGCCCTAAGAAAGGGTCTCCTCTATGGGGGCCCTACCAACCTCAGAAGGCAAGTGTGCCAGTTTGCCATAAAACAAGACATCCTTGGGGTTCAGCTTGGAGGGGTGCCAGGGGCAGCAGTGAGGCTAGGTTTGCCCTCGAAACAGTGGCTAATCTGGGAAGAAAGGCTACAAGAGAACCAGAGCCCAGAGAAGCCTGTGTCGGGCTGTGAGCGTCTCCACTTGTCCCTTCCCAGGTAGCGGAACAACCCAGGCCAGCTCCCAGGTTGCCTGCATCTCTCCAACTCAGAGGACATTCTTGGCACTCAGGTACATTTGCTTCTCTGTCCTGAAGTGGGTGGGTAAGAGGCTCAGTTGGTGCCACTCCTACCTGGGCACAAAGAGGTCACCTTTTGTCCTAAGGGGTTTGTTTGTTTGGCTATGGGGTCCTGTCCACACACCTGTGCTCCAAGGCAATCAATCAGTCCCACCCCTCCCTTCAGGCTGGTACTGAACACCTACCTCCTGCTCACATTGCTCAAAATCTAGTGTAGAAGAAACTGCCCGCACAGAAGAAGGAAGGCTGCCTTGAAGGAAACGGAAAAAAAAGGACTGACATGTTCACAAGACAGCTGGCGTCACCTCTGCCTCTCCAAGTTCTTTGCATGTTTTCAGGGACCGCAGTTCTCTGAGTCTTCAACCCAGATTTTAGCTCAGTGGTTCTCAACCTTCCTAACGCTGCGACCCTTTAATGCAGTTCCTTATCTTGTTGCTACTTCCTAACTGTAATTTTGCTACTGTTAGGAATCATCATATAAATATCTGCTATGTGGGATACCTGATATGTGGCCCACAGGTTGAGAACCGCTACCTTAGCTGATCCCTGGTTTCTGTCTGTCCTTGCAGAGACTGAATCTATAAGGCAATAGCTTTGCTCTGCCCTCTCACACCTCAGCTAATCCAGGCTGGGGGAGATATCTCCCATAGTCCCCGAACCGACCTGCCTGGACCTCTAGGCTCCCCCTCCAGCCTTTCTCATGCTTACTATTGAACTTGTCAGAGTGCACATCTTCAGAAGTAGCTCCCCGCCATCCTCCCCTGCTCTGCCACCCTGCAGGCTCACCCTCACAGCTCATTCCTTCCCTGCAATGCCTTTGCCTGCACAGATTCCCTGCCCCTTGCTAAGTCTTCTGCGACCTATGAAGGGTTTACACTCCAACTCATCTTAGAGCAGTCTTTTCATTCAGCCCGGGAGCACCAAATCCTAGTGGTAAAAGGGACCCAAATAGGACAGGACCTTTTCAAGTCGCAGGGCATACAAACACATCTCAAATTAGCTAAAGGGGAAAAAATGTATACGTGCATACATACATAGGCATGCACACACATATACACACACACCTGGGAGCTCCTAGGATCCAGTTGCAAGTCTGGCTGAATCCAGAGACTCAAGCCCCATTATTAGGGCCCTTTGCCACAACCCTAAATATATGGTTGCACTCCTAGGCAAGATGTGTCCTATGAAGGGTGTTATTGACTGCCCAAGGCCAATACACAGTGGCACATCATTGAAAAGGAGACAGGCCGGGCGTTGGTGACGCACGCCTTTAATCCCAGCACTCGGGAGGCAGAGCCAGGCGGATCTCTGTGAGTTCGAGGCCAGCCTGGGCTACCAAGTGAGCTCCAGGAAAGGTGCAAAGCTACACAGAGAAACCCTGTCTCGAAAAAAACCAAAAAAAAAAAAAAAAAAAAAAGAAAAGGAGACAGATCTCCTTCCAGTGTCTATGAGGTTCCTCTGCTGATGAGGCTCTGATGACTGTGCCTACAATCATGTTTACCCCTAAACATTGTCCTTTGAAAACAGTCAAGAAGCAAGGGGCACTGTGGAGTTGGGGCAGCCTGGCTTTGTCTTTCCTTCCCTGGTGCTGGGATAAAGTGTTCTACTAAAGCCACTTAAGGAGAAAAGGGCTGGGGGGAGTGTTCTGTTTTGTTTTGGACAGGGGAGGGGAGAGGTCGCAGTTAAAGGGTATAGTCAGTCATGGTAGGGAAGACACCCGGCATCCAGAGGCAGGAAGTAGAGAGACACCAACACTGCGGCTCCGTTCACTTCCTCCAGGATCCCAGCCCAGGTTGCTAAACACAGGCCCAAACTATCATGACTAATAGGCAAATAAACAAATAGAAATAAAGAGGATAAAGAAGTCTGGTTTGTGGTTTGAGGTCAGCCTTGACTACATAGTGAGTTATAGGCTAACCCCAAACAACACAAACAAACAAACAAACAAGCCAGAATACCAGAGACGCTAATTCATACTCACTAGAATGGCTAGAATCAAAATGGTTAGGTAACACAAAGATACAGAGAAATTGAAACTCATGCTATGGGTGAGGGTATGAAATCGTGGAAATCATTCTAGCAGTTCCCCATAAGTGAAGCACTGTGCTGATGATGCTGATCATATTACTCAGCAATTTCACTCCCAGATGCACACGCAAGAGAAATGAAAACATACAGAACTCACATAAGTAAATGTTTGTAGAGGTATTCTGATGAGAGCTGAAGGCTGGAAAGAGGGCAATATATTGATAAATGGACAAAATCTGCTGTAGCCACACAATGAAACTATCTAGTCACAGAAGTAAATGATGCTCTGATCCATTCCACACTGTGTGAGAGTCTCAAGAACACTGCACTAAGTGAAAGAAGTCAGACACAAAAGATCATTGTCTTTGCCCATTTCCTGATGCTGTAACAGAATATATGAGCTCCAGTCATGTGAAAGGAGCAGAAATCCTTTAGCTCATGGTTCTAGATCCTGGGAAGTTCAGTGTCAAGGTACCGACATCTGGTAAGGACCCTCCACTACATCAACACAGGATAACAGAGGTCAAACAACACACCATCACTGTGCTTGAAGGCAGAACCCATCACCTAAGCATCATATCTTCTAGATTTTTATCGTACAATACATTCCAATAGTGATTCTGTTCTCCCAGGTCCTCCCTTCCCTCCCAAAACCACATCCTTTCTTGCTCTCATTAGAAAACAGACAGACATCTAAACTGAAAGAAAGAAAAGGAAGGAAGAGAGAAAGGATAAAATAAGAACAAATCTGACCAGGACAAAACAAACAACGTGCTCCTTTTCCAGCTTTTGGAAGAACCATTCCAGTCACAGCAGCTAACACTAAATGATCTGTTCACATAGAAAGTCCAGCACAGAGGAGTCTGGAGACAGAAAGCTCCCTGACTGCCTGAGGCTTGAGGGTGGAGTGTGAGACAGGGATGTGTGAGGAGACAGCTAAAGGTTGGAGTTTCTCATTAAGGTGACAGAAATGTTTGAACTAATTATGGTAGTGCTTGCACATTCATAGGTTTTTCTACCCCCCAAAATAGGTTTCTCCACCATCGAAGTAAGCCAGATCAAGTCGAATTGAAAAGGCGTAACGACAGGTTTATTTGAGCAAAGCAACTCCCCGGCAAGTTCTCCAGTACCAGACACAGACGCTGGAGAAGCCACACCCCTCAAACTAAAGCAGGGAGACTTTATAGGTTGTAGGTGAGGGATGATGACCTGTTCTTCACAAGCTGGGTTTGTGCCCAAGGATGGTCAAAAGCTGAGCACTTTAGGTGGGGACTTGGGCAACTGGCAACTTCAGGGGAGGAGGAAGCTGTGATAACCACCAAGAATGAGAAACTGGGCTTTTTGGCACCTTTCCTTTGTTTGGAGGCTCTCTGAGCAGGTGGGGTTTGGAGAGAGACAGGAATGGGGCTTTCCGGATCATGCAGGGGTGAGCTGGAGGTCCCAACTGAACACACATATCTGCAAATTAACACACTAAAACCATTGAATTATTAGTTGGAATGGTGTGTGACATAGTAATAAAGCTGTTTAAAATGTTAACACAGACTTGAAATGCTTTTTGTCTACAGAGCAGGGCACTGAACCCAGGGCCGAGCACAGGCTAGACAAGTGTGTAGCATGAATTCTAATTGGTCTTAATACTAAAAACCTGGAGCCAGATATCAGGGACCTCTTTCCTCCTCCCAAGTGCTGGGGTTAAAGGTGTGAGCCACCACTGTCTGGCTAGCTCCGCACTCTGATCTCCAGGCAAGCTTCATTTGTGAGAGCACAAAGTATCACCACACAAGTGCTCTATCCCTGACCCGCATCCATTGCTTTGTGACCCATTTTATCTCTTGAGTGTTTGCTGTGTTATTTAATACTATTTAACATGCGTCTTCATGCTACGTATTATTCCGCGCACCTGGGCTAGACAACCCCAGCCGATTCTGGTGTACCTTTAGGTAAATGTGAGTATCAGCCTAATGAAAGTGTTTGTGCCCACCCACGATTCTCTCCTTGGGAGCAATCCCAGCACATGAAAGGTCACACATTCTAGTCGCTCATGCCATCCTAGCGGCACTAGGGGAAGTACTTTGTCCCCACATTAGTCCCTGGCTTCTCCACCCTCTAGGGGAGTCTGATCCCCTTCTTGGCTCCTCTCTAGAAAGCCTTCCTGCACAGATGTGTTCCAGACCCCAACTTCTTCAGCTCTCTCCTCCAGACTCTCGGACTGTACTTTTGTTATGCTTGCCCATCATCCCAAATGCTCAATTTAAACCAGTGGGCCCATCCCCCTCTCTCACCCCCCCCCCACCTCTGTGCAGTCAGCTTTCCCTCACTGTGACAAAATCCCTGAGAAAACCAACTAAAAGAGAAAGAACTAGTTTGGCCCCATGCTTCTAGGTGTGTGGTGAGACAGAAACATGATCAAAAGGACACACAGGGAAGAAAAATGCCTCCCTCCTGGTAGCAGGAAGCAGAGGAGGCTATGAAGAGGCTGGGACCATAAATCCTTCCAGGGCATGCCTGGAAGTGACCTACTTCCTTCCTTAGATCCTACCTCCTACAGTTTCTATCATCGATGTACCCATTGATGAGATCAGCACCCTCAGGATCCAGTCACTTCCCAGAAGTCCCACCTAACACTGCTGGCCTGACAGAGACATTTCCTATGCAAACTACCAAACCTCCCAACTTCTGTTATCCATCCGTCCTGCCACTTCATCCCATGTCACACACACCGATCCTGTGTCTAAGCCCTTGTTGTCTCAGTTGCAATGGGGCACCCACACGACCCCATTATCCTCTGCTCTTCACTAAGCTCCCTGCAACCCACATAAAAAACCCTTCCCTCCTTCAGCTTGCCCACCCCAAACCCTGCTTCTGCCCCTCAACACTAGTTAAGTGAGCACGCGCGCTGTTCTCTCTTCTCAGCTGGAGGAGCCCCACAAGCCATGCTCACTGCCCTCCCACCTCCCCTGAGATCCTTTTTCCAGGCCTTCAGAGCTTCAGTGATGCCCGATGCAGCAGGTCCCATTCTGCAGCGGGCCATGTCCTGTGCTCATCAGGGCCCCCTTCCAGCTACATGGAAAGAGCCTTTCTTTTCTGACAGTCTCATGGATGCCATAGCTGGCCTCAGACTCCCTGTGTAGCTTGGTACAAGCATGAACTTCTGACCCTCTCTCCTTGCCCCCTGCGAAGATTGCAGTACTGGCCGTTCTGAGGCTTGAACCTGGGGTCTCGTGCATGCTAGGGAGGTACTCTGCGAACTCAGCCGCATCCCAACCCACAGGCAGCCTCTTGTCTCAGCTCTACCTTCTCTTAGCTCTCACGGGCCTCCTACTCTTTGAATCTATGCTGGAGTCCAGCTCCAGTGGGGGTCAGGCCCCAAAGAAGAGGTGTGGAGTCTGGAAAGAGGAGGAGGACACTGACATGATCTGAGGGTGAATCAGGATGGCTGCCCCTCTATTGAAAAAAAGGCCAAACCTTTTATGCTCAATAGTTTAGTCACAGACAAGATTGAAAGTGGGTTCAATGATTCAAGGATGAAAGCAGCCATTAACTTTATTACAGCATTTTTCCTGAGACGAAAGTTAAGTTCAGCAAGTATCTAAATGCCTATTGTTCCCAAAGATTCAGTAGCTCCACCAAGGCCCTCTTTACATCAATGGAAGGACCACATGTTCCTCCTGCCAGAGATAAGGAAAATGACTGCTTTTAGCAAGCAGGAATTTTCCTCAAGCCCCTGAGGGCATGGGGACCCTTATCTGAGTGCCTGACCTTGGGAAAAGGACTTCCTCTGGGGACCAGACACACCACTACAATTTAAAGCCATTTTCATTCCTCAGGGGGCACTGCTGTGGGACGGTCTGTATGTCAAATTGCTCTGATTGGTCAATAAATGGAACACTGGTTGGCCAGTGGCCAGGCAGGAAGTAGGTGGGACAAGGAGAGGAGAATTCTGGGAAGCAGAAGGCTGAGGTGGAGAGACACTGCAGCCGCCGCCATGACCAGCAGCATGTGAAGATGCCGGTAAGCCACCAGCCA